TGGCAGAAGGAGATGTGAGTGGGCGATAGCCAGGTCAGATGGTGTGTGTGTGTGTGTGTGTGTGTGTGTGTGTGTGTGTGTGTGTGTGTTTTCCAAGTCTCTGCTGGAGGAGATGTGGGACCCACCCGTGATTACACAAAGGTAAGGCTTTGGCAATGGCATGGGGATTTCCTCCCCTGCTCCACCTGCTCTCCCTGCCCAGGGAGCGTCCTGGGCCCTGGTGACCATGGGAGAACGCCATCCTTGCCCTGCCTAGGACAGAGGTAGGAAAGGTGGGGACAGGTGGTGAGCTGTGCTATGTGCGGGAGAGGAGCACAGAAATGAGTCAGGGTCATGAGAGAGGCCTCCTAGAGGACGTGGCTAAGGTGGGTGTGGGCCCAGTGAGGACGGTCCCTGCTCTGGATCCCATTCCTGCGCCTCCCCTCTCCACCTGAGATCTCTTTCTGGCCTGGCTGTTGCAGTGTGGTGAGCACGGGGCAGCAACGGCTTTGGCTTAGTTATGGTCAGGGGCCAAGTGAGCCTGGAGGCCACCTTGAAGCATCTGTCCCTCTGCCCTGAGGTCCCTCCAACCCTGAAGAGCCCCAAGACGCACCGTTCCCACAGGGCACCCCACTTCCAGAAGCCGGGACTCGGGGTCCACGGAACTCTCGAGTCGGGGTTTTATCCACTCTCACTGCGCCCCTCCACCTGGCCCATCGGGATTGCCCCCCCGGAAACCTTGGGCTGCTCAGGAGGTGCCCGGTTCCATGGGCCCATCACTTACAGGTATCACCACCCACCGTCCCCTGCCTCAGACCCTCTCAGGTGTGTCAGCAATACAGAGCCACCTTAGTCCAGAACAAGCCTTGCCGCTCCCCACGTGGAGCCTCACTTTGCCCCCGGTCACTGAGGGCTCAGATCAGGGCCTCTCCAGTGACCCTCAGCCTCGACACAAGCCAGCTCCCTCGTCCTTCTGCCCTCCCAGCTGAGCGCGTGCTACTCTGCCCCAGTCCCAGATGGCTCCCTGTGGCTGGTTCTCAATTAATTGTTCAGTAGCAATTAATTGCATTGACCTGCCTCAGGAGGCCTGGATTTTCCCTGGATAGGCTGGCTAGCTGGCAGAGGCGAACCTCTTGCCCTCTCCAGGCTGCCCTGCCGGCCTGTGGGAGAAGGTACCTGGGGTAATGCCAGGCAGAAAGTTGTATTGAGGCTGCGAAGTGCCCCCTCGGCTGAGTCCTATCCTGCCCACTCTAGTTTCTGGGAGGCTTGCTGTGACTGAGGAGTTAGCTCAGGGGCTTGGGGCCCAGCGCACTGTCTAGTCCTCTGGGAAGGTTGGTGCCCAAAGCTGGGTGGTTTTGACGGGGAACCTAACGAGGATGGATGGCCTGAGAGAGGCCGGCGCCCTCCCGAACAACAATTGAACATTCAGGAGATTCTGTGTGGCAGGGGGGTGATCCTGACAGGTGCCCGCAGGCGTCTGGGGGAAGACGGCTTCAGACAGAAGCCAAATGGATATGAACGTTTCCTGGCCACGCAAGCACTTGGCAGAGTGCTCCGGCCTCTCCCTCAGAGCCCCATGCGGGTGTCGGGGCGTCAGGTCTGCACTGGACACTGCTCCTCACCCATCCCTGTTAATCGTCCCTGAAGCCAAGGCCGGAGGAATTACCCGGCCCAGACCTTGACTGACTTCCCAGAAGATTAGATCCAAGTCAGCCTGAGTGGAAGACAGATGCATTGCCGTGGCGGAGCCTCAGTCAGGAACCAAGCCCCTCCTAAGCCTTAATTCTGATTTCTGGGCCTGATGGGGGCCCCCGGGCCTGTTCTGCCTGCCTAGGTGTCCCAGAGGCAGAGGCCATAACTCAGCCTCTTTGCAGTTAGAAAAACAAAGGAGCTTTTAACCCCAGACACGGATCCAGCACATTTAAAAGCTCTCCCCTAGAGCCTGAGGAGAAGTTTAGAGACATGTCCATCTCCAGGGTCTCTGGGGATTCTTGGTTGCACTCAGACTGGTTCCTAATTGCAGGCTCTGCCCTGCTCCTTCTTCCCTCACTCTGCCCCCATCCCACCACCCCCCTCTGCTGGGGACACCGACCCCTTTCAAAGCTGAGTCCCGAGCGATCTCTGGAAACATTCCCTACCCCTTTGCTTTGTAGCTCTATCTGGTGCTAAAATCTGTGCCCACCCCACCCCCCATCCATCAGCCTAAATATCCAACACCAAAAATAGTCAATGCCAAGGGTCCAGAGTAAGCGATGGAGGCGCCCTGTGTGAGGCCAAGGTCAGAGACATGAAGAGTCTGCCTGGCCACGCTGGGAGCACTGGGCCTGTGTTTCCCTGAACCGTGCAGCCTCCCCTTCTGAAGAGTGGGGTGGCCTGGGTTAAGTATCTCAGTGTGCTCCTGGTAAAACACTGGCTTTCAGGTCTCCCTGGACTAGAAGCCTCACCACCCAAGAAAGCACAGAATCGGACTTTTCAAGATATTTTAAAAACCATGGGGGTGGGGGTGGGGGCTGGAGAGATGGCTCAAAGGTTAAGAGCACTACCTGCTCTTCCAGAGGTCCTGAGTTCAATTCCCAGCAACCACATGGTGGCTCATAACCATCTGTAATGAGATCTGGTGCCCTCTTCTGGCCTTGGCAGAACACTGTATACATGACAAATAAATAAATCTTAAAAACAAAACAAAACAAACAAACAAAAAAAAAAACAACAAAAAACTCAAATCAAGGGCAGTGCTGCACCTTTGATCCCAGCACTCAGGAGGCAGAGACAGGAGGATCTATGAGTTCGAGGCCAGCCTGGTCTGCAGAGTGAGTTTCAGGCCAACCTGGGATGCCCTGTCTTGAAAATAAAAAATAAATAAATAAATAAACAAACAAACAAATAAGAAAAAGGACCGTGTATGCATGCACATGTGTGAGTGCCTGTGACTGGGGAGGTTTCAGGTTGACTTCTAGTATCTTCTTCAACAGCATGCCACCTTATTTTCTAGAGACAGGGTCTCTCCCTGACCCTGGATTGGCTAGCCAGCAAGCTCCAGGAATCCTCCTGCCTCAGCCTCCCCGGAGCTGGGATACAGGCTGGAGTAGCCAGGTGCAGCTTTGACGTGGGTGCTGGGTGTCAGGGCATGGCTGTCACACCGTGGGGCAGGCACCAGGCACGCTGTTGACGTACTGCCTCCTTGGCTCGTGGCCTCGGCTTTGGAGGTTTGGTTTGGTGGTTTGGTGCAGGTGAGTCACAGCCTGAAGGTCAAAACTCCAGTCCCCAGAGCAGCACCGTGTCTCCACCCCATCACGGGAGATGACTGAGTTACTGGCTGGGCAGGCTTGAAGTCGCCAAGGGTCCAGTCGCCACTCGGTGGCAGTGGCCTGGGACACTGGAGCTCATATCAGACCTGCTCAGCATAGCCTAGAAGTCTGTCTGGTCCTGGCTAAGAGCCCCTGACCTGGAGTCTCCAGCTTCCTGTCTCCCTCCAGTGTGTTCCCTGTGCTCCGATCAGCCACTTTCTAGTGCTTGCCTTTAAAAGCTCTAAGGAGGGGGCTGGAGAGATGGCTCAGCAGTTAATAGCCTGTACTGGTGTTACAGGGACCTGAGTTCGAGTCCCAGTACCACATCAGGTAGCTTACAATTTTCTGTAACTCCAGGGGATCTGATGCCTCATCCAAGGGCACCTGTGCTCGCATGCACATACCTGCATGAGTACACACAGCACACAGAGTTTCAAACAAACAAACAAACAAACAAACAAACAAAGGCAGTCTTGTGAAGAACTGGGGCTCGGAGACCTTAAGTGACTTACATAAAATCACACAACCAAAGCCACATCCTTGCCAGATCCTCTGATGGAGAGTCCATGGCTCCTCAGTGCCTGTCTCCAACTCCAGCCTCACCTGTCCCCGGGCCACACACCCTCGCTGACCTTGCCTGCCCTGAGAGTGTCACCTGCTCTTTACTGCCTGTGCTCAAAGCCACACCCACCCACCCTCCTACCCTAGGCTGACTCTGCCACAGCCACTTCCAGCTTGAAAGGGCACGGGCGCTTCCCACCTCTATACTTCCAAGGCCCGCAGCGCACAGTAGCTGCTCAAACGTGTCCATTGCTCAAGGGAACCTGGCCGACAGAGCAAGGTCTCCTCCGACCAAGCCCAGCTCTCCATTCTGCCTAAAGGAAGAATGAGTTTGCAGTTTATTTATTTATTTATTTTTGTTTTTAAGGCAGGGTTTGTTTCTCTGTGTAGCCCTGGCTGTCTGGAACTCGCTCTGTAGCCCAGGCTAGCCTCGAACTCAAGAGACCCACCTACTGGCCTTTGTTTCCCAAGTGCTGGGATTACAGCTGTGGGATTAATCCTCAGTGCACCGCTAAGGGAAAAGGGAGTCTCAGAGGCTCTTGAGAGGGTCAGAACCCGCCAATGTGGAGAGGGAACCGCAAGCTCATCTTCTACAGCACTCCTCATCCCCTATAGCACCCCTCAGCTCTAGACCAGGACAAGTCATGGTGCATAGGACAGTTCCTGCCTGCTGCCCCACTGTCCGACGTCCTTTGAGTGATGCTGAAGATTGTGTGACTATTTTCTGAAATTCAGATCAGCCCTGCTCTCTCTGTCCTATCTCCCCTACAGAGGCCCCTGCAGGTGTCAGAGCCTTTGCTGAGCCCAAGCCTACCTTCCCTGCCTGGCGCTCCGCTGACACCTGGCAGCTCTGGTTGGCTGGATGCACCAGCTCCCCCAGCTCAGGGGAACCCCGGGGTACCTGTGGTCGTACCATCCATGCTGCCTGACAGAACCCCATTCTCCCACAGGGCATCGGGCTCAGAGACCCTCAACAAACCCTGGAACCTCTCCATGCCAAGGCCTCACCCCAACCCTGCAGCACACCCTGAGAACCAAGGCTCAGGAGCAATCGTGCCTCTCACGTGGCATCTGTGCCCTGAGGGCAGATTCACCCGGTGTCTGGAGGGAGCGGGTAGAGTGCGGGCAGAGCGCTGGGCTCCCTCCGCAGATGAGCGCACAAGCCAGACTCACCGTCCAGCCTCCGCCATCAGTGCGCATGTCACAGTAGACCTGGAAACCAGCCGGGTAGTGCGTGGGGAAGACGGAGTAGACACCGTCATCCTGCTGTCCGCTCAGGAGAACATCCAGGCAGTCCCGGGGCCGAGAGCCTGTGACAGGAAGCCACATCAGGGTGGTGGTCGCCCAGACACTACCATTCTGCCATCTCTTCCCCCCAAAGAGGTCCCCGGTTCTCTCTGACAAGGCTGTCTACCTGAGGTCGAGAGCATTAGCCCTCAGTCCCAGGCGAGTCCCTGAGGCCTTGCCTTCCTCATCTGGAAAATGGGCTTATGGCTCAACCATGGGTCAGGCCGTGAGTCACCTTGCCACAGGCGGTCTCTTTTCTGTAGCAGCAAGATGTCTATCAGAGTCAAAGGGCAGATGGGAGGGGGTGGAAGACAGCTCTCACTACGGCTCTCCTTGGGTCTGGGCACCATTCGAAAGCAAGCATGCTCACTCACCGTTGGCACAGCCTCGAGGCCGGGCTCCCCTGGAAGGGGCCCTCTGAAGGTCAGCCTTGACACGGGGCCGTCCCAGCCCCCGCTCTCTCTGCAGAGCCTCCAGGACATCGCTGACTGAGTTCACCAGGTGAGCCATGTGACCTTGGCTCTCAGAGAGAAGCTGCGGGAGCACAGAAGACCTTTAGAGATGGGGGGAGCAGGGGGGAGCACTGCGCTGGGGAGCCCCCTGCAGGAAAGGCTTTCCCCTGGCTTGCCCTGACCTCAGGGTCATGCTTATGGCAGTTTGAGGGGTCAGAGGCAAGGTCTCGGGTGAAAGGCTGGCCACTCCTATAGAAGCAGTCCCGCTGACGGGGCAGTGCAGGAAAAGGAGCCCCAGGCGTCAGCATGAGCTCGCCCACCCACCTCCTGACCTCCTGATCCTCCTGACCCTGCCTTCATTCTTTCACTGGGACAGTGTGTCATGTGGTCCAGGCTGACTTTACACCTCTGACGCCCTTGTCTCGACCTCCCCAGTGTGGAGGAGACAGGCAAGTGTCACCACATACAATATTCGAAGTGCTGAGAACCCAGCCTGGGGCTTCCTGCTTTGTGGGCTTTGCCCACTGAGAGCCACGTCCCCAGAAAGCCTTGGCGGTTAGGAGGGAGATGAGTTACCATTGCCGGCCCAGCCTAACTGCCTTGGGGGCTGGTGACCACATACGCAGTGCGCCAGCGTGGCATCGGCTCCCATGGAGCCCTCCTTTTACCTTCCTGGCTCTAGCCCATCCCGCCCGCTATCACTTCTAAGACCCCCACGTGAGGGGACTAAGGCAGGGGTGGTCCCCCTGCACTTGAGAAAATAGGCCTGAGGCTTGGGAAGGGCAAGTGTGGGCACAGGTTGCTGGGTTCAAACTGAGCCCCCAAGAAGATGGCCCCTGCTCCCTTCCCACCCCCATTTGAACACCGAGGTGAGTCTCCACAGATCCTGATGTCAGTCACCTCACAGGGCCGCACAGCATTGCAAAGAGCCAGGACTTGACATTGTTGTCCCCACGTTCCAAGAAACAATCGGAAGCCCAGAAGGAAAAAGACCTTCCCCTGCCACCCCCCTAGTTAACCCACACGGGAATCAGGCCTCATGCCACCTCCTCAGGACAGGTGGGTGGCAGGCGAGGAGGGGAGCAACCATCGGGCAATCGACCCGGTGTGGGTGGGGACCAACGCTGATATTCCCTGAGTGGGCTGTGGCTGTAGTCCTGTACCCCACTTATTAGCTGTGTGACACTCTCCTCACCTGTCTGCAGACCAGGATGAGGGAGGGGACTGTCACTACCGCCTGTTCTCCAGAAGACTCCAGCCATGCGAGGGAACTCTTACCCCTCCCGTCTTCCCCTCCACTGCTGTCCAGCACAACAGAGCAGTGCAGATCTCCGGGGGCCTCTTACTGTGCTGGCTGCTGGAAGGGTCTGGGGGTCTCCTCACCCGGGTTTCAGGAGGCTACAGGACCCGGTGGAGGGTGGAGGGGGAGTCAGCCGGCGGCTGGCAGCAGGAAGCAAGCTAGGTCTTGCTCACCGAACCTGTCACTTGCCAGATAATAGCCCATCGGAGGAAGAGAGAGAAATACACCCAGCCAGCAGTTTACGAAATATGATTTGTGGCTCGTCCGAAGGCAGGGCCCTGCAAAGCCCTAGGCCCTGTTCGTTTCCCCTCTGCTGAGCAGGTGATTCAGTGGTCTCCAGGAGCATTGCGGTGAGCAGGGGAGCCCACAGCCCTTACCACAGTGACCTATGGTCAGGCTCCACGAAGCCCTTGTGGGGACGCTGGTAGCCCTTGGTGAGGGGCTGCCAAAGACCCCTCGGTAAATCTCACTGCACACAGCCCATCCTTTTGAGTCGCCGTGGCCGTGTCATTCAGCAGCTCAGGCACAGCCAGCCTCTCCCTCTCCCTGGCAGGCAGAGAAGACCTCGGTTTAAACTAGCAAATGATTACCACTGAAACATATAAACCTGCCCCGAATTAATAGGGAGTCAGTCCCTGCTCGCTGAGCCGAGCAAACTATCACGAGAGAAGCTGACGGCAAGCAGAGGCCGTGAAATCAGGGTAGCTGCTTCCAGCAAAGCCCAGCAGTCGCCCAGCCCACCAGGCCCTTCCCCACCGAGCCTCAGTCTGCCCTTCTGCAGAGTGGGTGACAAAGGCACCTGCCCCTGGGGTTCCTGGGGCACCACTCCCCTCACAGAGGTTTTTCACTGGTGGCCCCTGTGAACAGCCTCTACATGCTGAGGCCTGTGGAGCCCTGTGGTCAGGAACGCCAGCATCCCCTTGGGCTTGGCCTACTACCCCACTTTACAGGTGGGAAGAAACTACCTAGAGAGGGGATGTGGCCCAGCCAAGGTTGCCCAAAGCTAAGATGGACCCCACAACTGTAGCCTCAAGTCAATAGGCAGCAGAACTGCCACCTTAGCCGAGCCGGTGAGCACCAGACCTCTGACTTGGGGGACCAGAACCTCAGCTCTGTGCTGCTGCCAAGGGAAGGAACTGTAAGATGGCTGTCTCTGCTGATCCAAAAGGGCAGAAAAAATCTTAGCTGGCCCTGCACCTGGTCAGCTGCCTCTGTAGAGACTGTGGACACTATATACCTGGCATTTCGTGGGGCGGGGAGGGATGCATTCCAGAAGGGACATCGTAGCCAGCCTGAGCTGACCAGGGCTGAGTTCAGGAAAGGCAGAGCAGGGCTATGTCACCCAGAGCCTGGCAATCTGGTCTGCTGATGGGCCTGGGGGAGGGGCAGCAGGAAGCTGGCTGTATGTCCCCCAGCCCAGGGGACCCATCACCCTGTCAGTCACCCAGACAGGGTGACGGGGGCTGTAATTTCTGCAGCTGCAGCCTTCAGGGGGAGGGAAGAGGGCCGCTGCTCATGAGCTAGGGGTGACCAAATGCCTGGTCACCTTGGGCGCTCAAATGAGGAAGTGCAGAAACAGCTGTGATGGCTGTTGGGATGGAGGCCCTAAGGCTCAGTCAGAGCGTGAAGTGGCACAGGACAGGAGGCGGGGCAGGGCACCCAGGGCTAGACGTCAGGCCTGATCTAGCTCCGTACCCAGGAGACACCGGCACCATGTTCTAGGCTTCAAATGGGGCAATCCTGAGTCCCTCCTCCTATGAGAGCTTCTGGCTGGTGCTGCCAGAGCCAGAGCCTTCCTGCCCCTTTCAGCTCCACTTTATTTTTGAAGGAACCTGGCTGGGTCCAGGGTAGAGGTGGGGAGGGAGTCTCGAGGCCAACGGTCTGACTGGGCCCCCCTCTGTGGCCCTGCATCCCTGGAAAGCTCAGAACAGAGCAGTGACAAGTGGGGGGGGGAGCTGCACCCCTCTGGCAGGACACCAAGCTGTCACGTGATAGACTGGGAGCAAGCCTCCTTCATCAGCACCTCAGCTAGTGATGGGGTTCGGGGGGCAGATGAACAGTGCCTGCCTTGCTTGCAATTCACAGCCTCTCAGTCCGCCTGGGAGCCCCTCTACCACCGGATCCACAAGGCAACAGAGTTATCATGAAAGTGTGTGTGTGTTTGTGTGTGTGTGTGTGTGTGTGTGTGTGTGTGTGTGAAACTGGGTTGAGATACTGGTCACGGAAGTGAGAACACAGCCCTCCACAACTGGAAAGAACTAAGGCCCAGGTTGAAATGCTTAGGGATGAAGGCTGTGGACATTACAGTCTCCCCACCCTTTCAATGACAGAAGGCATAGGTGGATCCTACCCTCACCTGGATGAGGCGGCCCTGTTCGCTCTGCAGGGTGCTGAGGCCCTGGCCCAGCAAGCTGTGTCCCTTGCGCAGGCCAGCGCACTCGGCCTGCAGCTCAGAGGCCCGGGCCAGCAGCCGAGGCAGCTGGTCAGCCAGTGCGTCCAGCAGCTCCGAGGCGCCCTCCAGCCGAGGCTGCGCCTGGTGCTCACTCAGTGCCCGCAGCATGGAGGCCTGCACGCCCTCTAGGCGGGCGAAGCTGTCGGTGAGGTCCGGGCAGCGGGGGTCGATGAGAAGGCTGAGGTGGGAGCTGTCGGCCCTCTCCACGGTGACCAGGGCACTGTTGGCCCCTGCAGAGCCGGTGCTGACGATGGGCGGGGGCGCCGTGCCTGGGGCATGGGCATGGTTCAGGAAGAGAACTGCTCCGGTGACAGCCACGGCCAGCAGCACTGCGAGAGACAGGAGCACCGTGCAGAGCACATAGCTGCAGCTTGGTCGCTGTAGGTCACCCCAGGACGCAGAGACAGACAGGCAGCAGACGGACGGACAGACAGACAGACAGACAGGAGAAAGGAAGGCAAGCGTTAGAAGCCAGCCTCTGCCTGTGACTCTGCCCAGTGAGGCTCTGGAGGCTGGGAGGGCACGAGATCCTAGAAAAAAGCTGCACACAGCCCAGCGTCAGAGAGGCAGGACAGGGAGAGCAGAGAGGCTGGGGGGGGGGGGGCAGGAGAGCGCGCCTCACACCTGCTCTAAGCCCTCTCTCTACCTTGCTGTCTTCCTAGAGCAGCACCCTGGCAGGTCAAAGGCCTCCAGCCAGGCAGAGTGGCTCTGAGCCACTCCGGAGAAGGGCTGAGGCAGCTCAGGCGCTGTGCCTCCCCAAACAGGTAACATGCAGATGCAGGGAACAAATGGGGCAGAGCTGCGGCTGTGAGAACAGGACTGGCGCACCAGGCTGTCCTAACCGGGGCTTCATGACAGCCGAAGCCGAAGCCAGAGTGTCGCTTGTAATTTAAAATGGCACCGTGACTGTGTGGCAGCAAATGCTCTGGGGACCCACCTGTCCCACGAAGTCACTCACAATCCCCGAGTGACAGGAGAGGAACGGAAGCCCAGAGGGGCTAAGGCGCCTGGCCAGGGTCACACAATTAGAAATGGCCTTCTGAATGGATCCCGTGCCCCACTTTCTCCTGGGGGGGGTGCTAGGCTACCTCCTATAACCAAACCTCGACTCTCTCGCCCACACTGCCCCTTCGTTCTCAACTTCCTGAAGTGGAGATGCCTCTTTAAATAAGTTAGTACATTAAAGCCCCTGGAGCAGTGCCTGGCACGTTACACTTCTGCAATAAATATTAGTGGCTTTTATTATCTCGTGATCAATGTGCGCACAGCAGCTGAAGGCGGTTTTTCTCTCCCGCCCAGAGCGTTATTTCTGAGTGTCCTCCGCATCGGGAGGACACCTTTCCTTTCTACTCACAGTAGGATCTTACGGTGTAGCTACGTTTTCCCAGCCATACAGAAAATGCCCATTGCATTTACTACTAAGGCAGTGACACAAAGGGCTTCTCTCCCCCAGATTCCAACACTACCTCCTGGGTCTCTCAGCAGGAGAGGAGCAGAGGCTGGGGGCGGAGAGCTGGCCTCCAGGAAGCCCTCCTTGATTGCTTCTTCCCCCTCCCCCACTTGGAGGGGCTCCCCCTCCCCCACGGGCTTCTCAAGACAAATTTTATCATCTCCGATTCATTCATTCATTTCATCATCACATTTTCACTCACAGGAAGCTGCTCGAGCCAGGCTCTGGGCCACTCCAAAAGAGGCATCAGAGGAGCTCAGGTCCTGTGTCTGCGTCCGGAAGTGCTGTGTCCACAGCTGTGATTTTCAGCCCCTCTGGGGCATTGATCCCTTTGGGGCTCTGACAAAGGCTGAGGACAGAGCAGTTCCTGGGGATCCAGGAACTGCTAAGTCATGGGGAAGGAAAACTGCCCTGGACCCTGGGCCTTATTCCTAGTCTGACCATTCGACACAGCTAAGTCCTTACCAGTAAACTGGATGGATAGAGGAGGCAGGAAAATCGGGTGGGCCAGGCATGCCTTTGGGACAAGCTGGGAGGCCTGGCTCCGCAGAGCCTCGGGACCTCCTGGCAGACCCAGAGCCTTAGATCCTGTGATGGGGCTGCCTCCTTTTCATGATGGCACACAGAATGGAGGCAACGCCAGGCTGTACCAAGCCCCCAGTCCAGGCGGCCCAGCAGCCTGCTGCAGCCTTCTGCCACCATCACTCTGAAGTCTGCAAGCACCCCCTGCTGTGAAGGCTTGCGCTTGAACTCATTTTGCAGATGTGGAAACTGAGGTTCAGGGAGCAAAGACCCAAAGACAACCTGGAGCTAGGTGGCGGTGGGCCCAGTGTCCTTCAACATTCCTTCCCTGATAAGCAAGGCTGGGGATTCAGAGACAAAGCTGTGTTGGCAGCCAAGTGCCTGTCATACCCACTTCTGACCCATCGGGAGACACTCTGCCCCGAGCATATCTAAGCCATGCCCTCTGTGTGGCATTAAGGTCCCCCAGCCAGCCTGTGGGGTGGGGGTGAGGCTCAACATCTCCCCCATGGGTCTCTGGGACTTTATCCTGATGGATTGAGCACATACCTTCCCATGGGAATGGGGACAGAGGGGACAGGAGATGGAGAGGGTGGAGGGAGCTGCAGGTCCCTTGGAGCCAGTGTGGCATGGGAGCTCAGTGACGGAGCAGTTCACTCTTGGAGGAGAATTAGTCTTCAGAGATCAACCTTAAAGATGAAGAGCTGTTCGCTTTTATAGGCTGCGGCTTACGTGCCTCGCAGAGAAATCGCCCGAGATAATAAGGGGGCCTGGGCCAGGCGGCCAGCGCTGTGCCTCAGGCTGGAGCTTATTAATCAGTCTTTGGCCAGGCAGAGCAAGGTGCACCCCAGCCCTCGAATTCAAGGGGTGGGGAGAGCTGAGCCTCCCAAGGACAAGGCAGGGCGCCTCCAAGGAACCAGAAGCCTGAGTGGGAGACGGGGTTGAAGGCCTGTACGTTCCCAGCTTAAGGGATGTCTTTGATCCCTGCGGTAGGGGTCAGAGGCTCCCTGCACAGCCCCTGTCAGGTGCTTGCCGGCAAGCCTGACACCCTGAGTTCAATCCCAGGAACCCATGCAAAGGAGGAAGGGGAGAACCGGCTCCCAGAAGTTGTCTTCTGACCTCTCCACATGCCTCACCCTGCTCCTTACCACACAACATCAATAAAAATGGAAAAAAAAATAAGCCATCGTCCAGAGGAAGGCCAAGGGGGGCCTGCCTCAGAAGGGGGCAGGAGCCTCCCAGAACACCTCTCCTGGAAGGTGACATTTGTCCAGGGTAGTCCTTGGAGTCACCAGCCCTTGAGGCCTAGGAATGGAGGAAAAGGTACAATACCAAGGTGTCCTGATAACCCCCTGCCCGAATGTGGCATTCGCCCTCTCCTGCTAGCTTTCCCTGCTGGCCCAGTCCCAAGGGCCCAAGATGGAGAGCCCATCTTGGCTGTCAGTGGAATGAGTAAGTCTAGGGAGACAGGGTGTCAGGGGAGGGCCACTCTGCCTCCGCCTCCTGGGAGCCACAGCCTTTGTGCTTAGAGGAACGGTGCTGCTGACTTTGCGGATCTGGGGGAGCTCGGGCTTTCTGGTAGGCCCTAGGAGCAGCCCCCCGAAGGAGCCCAAGGTGACAGAGATGACACGGAAGCCACCTGCACCATGCCTGCTAGGAGCTCCAGACACCCCCACTTTCTCTCCCTGGGGAATCCTTGGCTTGGCTCTCTCTTTGCTGAGAGAGTTTCCACAGGTGTCTGTGAAGGGCTCCCCCGATCCTGGCCTCCTCCATGCAGCTCTGCACCCCCGACCTGGCCACCTCTGTGTCACCTGCCTCAGAGCCAGTGTCACCCCTGGCCTGGACACGGAGCAGACAGGACACCCCAGCACCCCCCCCCCCCGACCTTAGCCATGAACAGCCAACCCCAAGTGCATACACTCGGTGTCTGTAGCTCCCTCCCCAGGGCCATCCCCACCCATCCCCACCCTCTCAGCCAAAAATCGCCAACAGCTCTGTGTGACTCTCCATGCCCATCTCTGCCTGGATGGGAGCCTCAGGTAAGCCATGCTGACTCAAGAGACAGCTGAAGGGGAGTGTCTCCAGTGGCCTCTTCCTCCCTCACCCCAAATCTGATGTGGTGACTTCTCAAAGCCTAGTGAATGAGAAGAAAATTTTCGTGTATGTTATTTACCATGGCCTGTGGCAGTCCCTGAGTTCTGGGTTTTCCCCCAGGGGACTCTGTGTTCCCCGAGGCATGGGCTGCACCTCCTGGTGGGATGTAGGGTCTCCATAAATAGTCACAGAGTGAATCAAATGCAGCAAGGATTAAGGTTAGACCCCAGGAAAGACTTCCCAGAGTAGCTTGCTTGCTTTCTGGAATGTTTCTACAGGTTTTGAAAGGACTGAGACCCAGGGTTGGGCATGGCTGGGAGGCTGACTGCCAGAGGGTGACTTGGGGTCCGCTCAGCAAGAAGCCACCACTCCCTCAAGGAGGCGGTTTGGGGTGACATTCTCTGGACGTCCCAGGGGAAGCCCGGGTGTAGTTCTAGCGTCTTTTATTTGAACATCTGACAAACGTCACTGCAATGTGTCTTCCTGCCCCTTCTTGTGCAGCGGGGCAAAGGACACCCTAATGAAGTTGGAGTCAGCCACTTGGCCAAGGTCATCCGTCCAGTGAGAAGGCAGTTCTGAAACACAGCCAGGCAGGGCAGGTCCTAGGAGGTCCCCATGAGTGGCCCTACTTGAAAGTGAGGAAGGAGGGCCCAGTTCCCTCCCTCCGTCCGTCCCCCTTCCTCCCATCTGCTTCCAGGGATCATAGTTTTGGCCCCCACCAGAGAGCTCAGCCCCAGTGGTCTCATCTGTTATATGTGCCAGCCTCCAAGGCTGATGTGACCAAGACGTGACAGGCCAGGGTATGAGCTACACCTGGTGCTGGGGTTCGGTCTCCTTCCAGTGGAGACAGAGCACACAGGCATCCCACCTGGGAGCAAAGGGGAGAGCTGTGGCAGCGACAGGCTGCTGGGAGACCCAGCCTTTTTGTGGGTTCACAGCACTTTGAGGGCAGCTGGACCCAAGACACAGCCTGGTGCCTACTGGTTCACTATTGGAGGATGGAAGGGGTGTCCAGTACCCCCAGACCCAGCACAGACCCAGCGGGGCTCTGTCTGGTGCAGCTGGGAGCTGGCTCTCAGGGGCATCAGGACTGGAGAGGCCACACCTGGCTCAGGGCACCTGGAAGCCCCATTTCTAACAGACTCCCCAGAAACCACCAGCCCTCCCCTCTCCTGTCCCCCACCCTCGGCCAGGTTTCAAGCAGCTGGCTTCAGCAGTGGCCCCCACCCCTAACCTGGGCTTTTGGGAAAGGCACGCAGCCTGGGCAGGGGCCATAAGGAGGCAATGGGGGAGCTTGTGGCCACAGGGAACCCCGGGGAGAGGGATGGGTCTAGAGCCCCCACTGTTTAAAAAACAATAGGACTGCCTGGACCAAGAACATGGTCCCAGGCATGGCGGGGGGGGGGGGGGGGGGGGGAGAGGCTTCTAAGGGAAGTGGTCTCTTTCCAGCCCTGTATAGAACAAGTAAGGTACCCCTGGTGTGGAGTATGTTGGGGGCCTGGTGGTGCCAATCAAATGAGAGAGTAAGGGTCTAGAAGTGGGATAGGGCCCAGGGAGGGAAATAACAAGTAGTCAGGACCCATAAGGTACCGTAGGAGGCTGGGCAGCCATGGGGACAAGCCCTGAAGTTTCCACTGTTCTTCTCAGCAGGAAGGGCTCTGGCACCCAGGGACAGTGAAGACAGTTAAGGACAGACCAATGGAAAGGGACTGAGGTTGGGACTGTAGGGTCCTTGCTCTCTGGCCCACATGCTGTGTGGCCTGGGTGTGTTCCACCTCCCCGATCCTCATCTGTGATGTGGCAATGGACACTTGTGAAGAGCCACCGACTAGGAAGTGAGATAGCATCAGAGCTTTGCCAACTGTAGGGAGCTGGTCCCTTCCTGCCAGACCAGTGCCACTCCAGAAAGAAAGGCAGGTTGCAGCTTTGAACAGCCCGGGGTGGGCCCACCCGCCCCTGCCACCTCCTCCTTCTCTGGTTGCAAACTCTCACTGTTCCTTCCCCGGTGACATCTGTCTGGGAGAAATTTAAAATTTAAAACTGGCAGCCCCATTATCGCTCTCCTCGGTGAACGGCCTCTTCAACAAGCCTGTCTATCCCGGTCCCTTGATGGCTCAGCCTGGGGCAGTCCTGCGGCCACCCCTCAGCCTCAGACGCTGGATGCCTAGCCTCTCGGCAGCCCCTCCCTGCTCTGTCCCAGCTGGTGCGGTGCACAGCCTTGGGCACCCTCCAAGCCCGGACACTTCACTGTCCCTGCAGAGGCAGCGGGGAAGAGAGGATCGGTGAGACCCGGGTTCAAATCCCTGTGGAGCTGAGCAGCTTCTGGCTGCAGCGGGACCTCTCTGAGCCTTGTCCGCCTGGTCGTAGAGTCAGATAGCCACAGTGCCTAGGCTTCTTATAGGAGATTAATATTTACCGGTCCCCAACTGGATTTGGGTGTCTGGGGAAAGAGGAAGATAGGGGGGTGGACCCGGGGGCAGGTCCTGCTCTTGAAGCCCGGGAAGATGTGCGGGGAAGATGTGCGGGGCAGCCGGCGGAGGTTGGGGACTTGCAAGTGGGGAGAACGCCCATTGTGGCACTGGGCGAACGGGACTCCATCTGTCCTCTGTCCCCAACTGAAGGACTGATCCGCGACCAACTATAAGCTCTCCTTCCCCGCTGCAGGAGCGAGCACAGGGGTCTCCGCTGGGGGTGGGGACCGGCTGCGCCGCGTGCCTTCCGCAGGGAGCCCAGAGTTCAAGTCTCCGTTCGGGGAGGAGAGTAGGTGCACCGCCCCCTGCAGGAGCTCCCCAAACTCCAGTCCCCCCCCCCACGTCCCAGCGCCCATGGGTACCTGCGGTTTGTCGCGCGGTCGGTCCTCAAGTTGGGACGCGCCGCCCACGGTCTTCCAGCGCTCGTGGACCATCTTTCTGCGGGACCCGCGGGGGCGCGGGGTCCGCGGCACCGGCGGGAGGTCCCCTCGGGGCTGGGGACCCTGGGCGGCCCGGGAGCGGCGGCCGCCAGCCAGGCTGCGTGCGAGCGCGTGTGAGCTCGGGGAGCGCGGGCGCGAGCCTCCGAGAGCCGCCCGCGCCGCGCCGGCCCCGCGCCCCGCTCCCGCGCCTCCCGCGCGCTCCTCCCTCCGCCCGCGCCCCCGCCCGCCGCTCGGTCTCCGCGTCGCCCGCGTCTCGGACTCCCGGGGGCCTTTTATTGCTCCCCGCGGCTTCTCGGCCGCGCGCGCGCGCGCCCCGCGGCTTCCGAGAGTGACTCCCGCTCCGGCCGGGCCGCAGACGGGGGGCGTGGGGGGACGGGGACGCCCGAGGAGCCCGTGCGCCCTGGGGCTCCCCGCACAAACTTCCTCTCGGGAGGGACTCGCCCAAGTCCCCGGCAGCCGGGATCACCCCTGCGAAAGGGGCCAGGGGGGAGGTTGGGTGCCCCTTGCGGGGCGCCCAGGGCAAGCGTGCGGGCAAGCGTGCGGGCAAGCGTGCGCGATGTCCGGCCGTCTCCAGTCCCGGGGCGTCGAGTCGCAGACTCCACGGCGGGGCTGCTGCACCCGCCCACCCGGGGTCCCCGCCGCTGCCCCTCCCCCTCCCCCAAGTGGGTCCTGGGCTGCGCTGACCGCCGGAGGAGGGCTCTGAGCCACCGGTGGGGGCTTCTGAGTCGGCCCTCCCACCAGCAGCACTTTTTAAAGCGTTTAATCCGCCCGAGCAGCCTTCGGAGGTAATTGACAAAGTCCTTAATCTGCGCGGTTAACGAGCTGCTATTGTGGCTCCGACCGCGTGGCTCCCACGCGCCCCACGCCGCGCCCCGCCGGCCGCCCCTCCCCCCAGCCCCCAGCTCCGCGAAGACGCCGGGCACCCCGCTACTCCTTAAAGCTGTTTGCCCGCTCCGGGGCGCTCTGGCGGCCCTGCTGTTCCCTGGCACCGTCCTCGGCTCCCTCCCACCGGCTTCCAGTCTGTCGCTCGGTCTTCGTCCTCCTTCTCGTCCCTCTAGGCGCCTGGCAGGCCCTGGGAAGGTGGGGCCCCAGCCTGGCACAGCCAGAGTGGTCCCTGGGATCACAGCTGGAGCGAGGCGACGTGGCCACATGCTCTCCCAGGCTGTCACCAGCCCGAAACCGGGGCCGCGGTCTGCACTAACTTCCTACTGGCTGGCTGGCGTCTCCCGCGGTCCTAGCCCAGTTACTGACCACTAACCCCAGGCTGAGATGTGTCTGTCGCCCTGCCCCCCAACTCCCTCTTCAATTGAAAGGGTTGTAGGCGGGCTAGAGAGCCTTCAGGCCTAAGTAGAGAGCCTTCAGGCCAGTGTGGTCACTGGCCACGGAACCTCTCTTGACTTAGTTCTCTTGTATCCAAAGGGTTAACAGGGGGTTCTGAGGCTGGCACCATACATGAGCAGGGTAAGGGCTCATGTAAGAGCCCCCGTTTCCTCACTGAGCAAGCAAAGAGGGAGAAGAGCAAGGGGCTCCCCGGGCCCTCCCAGGTGTAGGGATCCGGAGTCTGGTTCCACAACTCCAGGAGAGAATGCTGACTGCAGGTACCGTGTGCCCTAAAAATCACCCTGGGCAGTCCTGACCCGGGGAGGGGGTCCAAAGGTCCCAGGGAGCTCAAGGGGAGCAGGCAGCCTCTTTAGGAGGGGGGCGCCTGGTTCCCAGGAAGCGGCCTTAATGGGTAGAGCAGGGAAGGCGAGGGAAACCGTGAAGTTGAGCAGGCGTGCCCGGAGCCTTCAGGACAGCTGGGTCTGTGGAAGGACAGGTAAGCGGGGGCCACCTAGCGGCTCCTCCTGGCATTGTTAGCCGGTGTACCGGTCGCCTACTCAGCAAGGACCCTCAGCTCTCCTGCCTGCTGGGGTGCGGTGGGCCTTAGCCCATCACCACCGCAACTGTGCTTCTGGCTCAGATGACTCTAGAAGGATCAGCAGTGGACTGGGGTTGGCAAGAACGCACGCAGTGTCCCTCTCCCGTACACTGCAGCCACCCGGTGCACACGGACCCATGGGGATGTCTGAATGAGATGAACCAACGACGGGACGGAGACGCTCCTGGGACTGGACACAGAGCAGACCAACGCCTTCCCCATGCTCTGCAGCCTCCCTGCCAGGCTGATGCCGGCCAAGCATCTGAGGCAAGTCTGGCTGTGCTGAGCATGCTGCCACTGTGGAAGCAGCCTTTTAGCCAACTCAGGGACCGGGCAAGGCCTTGGGGAGAACAGAGCCCAGGACTCATGAGCTGTCTGGCACTCCTCCTTCTTTCCTTCCTTCCTTCCTTCCTTCCTTCCTTCCTTCCTTCCTTCCTTCTTCTTTCTTCTTCCCACAGCCCCCTGGGTATGATAACTCCAGCTATCAAGCAGCCACAGTCTGAAAATTTTAGTTGAGATTCTAGACAGAGGGGGTCTGTCCAGGCCCTGCTCTTCATTTTGAGCCAGGATCCATCAATTACAGATTGTCAGCTGGCCCAAAGTAGCTGGCCTCCTCAGGGACCTCACTGTAGTGCCATGGGAGGACGTGGCTTTCTGGGTGCCTTCATAGGGAGGGGCACAGGATGGGGAGTGAGGACAGACGTGAGGAAAGACAAAGCAGAGACATGGAAGAGTGGCATCGGGCCTCTGCATTGACCGCCATACAACCCTGAGAACCCAGGGTTCTCAGAACTACCCTGATAGATCGGAGATATCGTTAGCCTCTTCATGGACAATGAAACAGGCTCAGAAATATAGTTAACACCTAACAACATAAACCACACAATCAGTGTGCTGAGTGGTCATTCAGTAAGAATACCCACACGCTGGGCACCGTTCATTGGCAGTGTCAACAGATGCTTCGGTCTCCCTGTGAATGGCATTACTATCCCCATCTTAAAGACGAGGCAACAGAAGCCCAGAGAAGGTAAACACCTTGACCAAGATCACACAGCAGTTGGTAGATGCAGAATTTGAATCCTGGGTTGTGCCCTGCTGGAGCCCATCTCCGTCTCAGTGCTTGCTGGCCAGCCTGATATTCCCAGAGAGCATTGTTGGGCTGACATGCAGCAGGGCTTGGGGACGTGGGCTGCATGTCAAATGTGCTTGTCTCTGGAGGCCTGGGGGCAGCTGGCCAGGAGGTCAGGACCTCTGGCCCTTGTCCACCCGCCTGTCTCCGTACACTGCCCAGGGCATTTCACTCTTCTGGTAAAGCGGTTTCAACTCACCTCTGACAGTCACATTTATCATTAAAAATAAATTCATCCTGGCTCCCCTTGGCATGGGAAGGTGCTGTGCCGTGATTCAGTGGGCTTGTCACCCTCTCGGTTAGGTGCGGAGAACTGAACAACTGGACGGTCTCCAGCACCAGCGCCTCATTTTCTGCACTGGAGCCAGAAACGTACAGTGGGCTGACATTTAATTTAGAATCCAACATACCTTGACACAAACTCATAATACAGAGGCGGGGGTGGGTGGGGGCTGCCAAGCTGGGCAGGGGTGGGGGAGTCCGAGTGACAGGGCGGATTTCTTTCTTTCTTTTTGTTTTATTTTTTTTTCCTTTTGCTTTGTCAACATGATGACAAGCCAGAGACTACCATCAAAGGCAAGAATTAGTGGGGACCAAGTCTGTGTGTGTGTGTGTGTGTGTGTGTGTGTGTGTGTGTGTGTGAGAGAGAGAGAGAGAGAGAGAGAGAGAGAGAGAGAGAGAGCTCTGCGGGGTGTCCATGCCCTGACTCCACTGGGATAGCGTCCTCATCTTGAGCTAAGTCTGTCAGGTCATATGTCACCATTACCGGAGAAGCATGTGCCAAGGCCGAGCTGTGACGGCCACTGCTGGTGCCAGGGAGCTGGACAGGACGGTCTTTACACATGCAGATGGCACGTGTACCTCCCATGCCTGTGTCCCTAGCACTTCGCCCAGATCCTCGGACACACACCCAGCGCTCAGTAAATACAGGCCACAAAGGAAATGTGTCATTTTCAACATCTCAGCAGAGTTTCTCTCGGGAAGAGAGCTGGGCTTTATTGGACAGAGCAGCCTGATGGGCCATTTAGTTGTCGGAATTGGAGGTTCACTGGGCTGGGGAGACGGAGATGGGTCACTGGGTAAAGTGCTTGTTCTGCGAACAGAGGATCCCAGTACCCACATAAAAGCTGGGTGCAGCACACCTGCATTTCCAAGCACTGGGGTGCAGAAACAGGATTTCTGGAACTAGCTGGCTGGGTAGTGTTACCAAAATAGCAAGCTTCAGGTTCACTGAAGCCTTTGTCTTAAAAAAAAAAAAAAAAAAAAAAAAAAAAAAGTGATTCATACATGTGCTGTGGCATGCATATGAACACACACACACACACACACACATAAATTGGAGGCTCAAGGATCATTGGGGAGGAGAGACACAAGAAAGCCAAGGGGAGTAAGGACCTGTCCAAATGGAGGGCTGGAGGGTTGGGAGAAAGCGAGAGCCGTGCCCCTTTGGAGGGAGGTGGAAGCTGGCAAAGCTTGCCTGGTGGAGGTAGTGTACTCCTCAAGAGCCTGACACACTCAGGCTGGGAGAAGAGAAGACAGGAAAGATAAGAAGCAGGGGGCGGGGACCCCGGATGTAGGATGCACGGAGTTCTCTAGTAGGCACGAAACCCAAGCAGGAGAAGCGGGCAGCATTGAAGGAGGCCAGCTTGTTTAAGTGTCTGCCATGTGGCCAGCCTCTGAGAGCCCTCCTTATTCCCTCGTGACAGGAAGAGATGAGGGAGCCATGGTGAACAGAGCCCGTTCGAGGCTGCTCATCCTTTAAACACTGCAGTGTGGATTGAAGCTCTCCAGCCAGACTCCAGGGCCATCACTTTAAAGTGCTCAATTTTATTTATAATTATGGGGGGGGGGGCAGGCACCTGTGCCATGGAGCTTGCGTGGAGGTCAGAGGACCACTTTGTGGAGTCAGTTTTCTCTTCTCACCTTTGCATGAGTCCTGGGGAGGGG